CCCCCCCCCCCCCCCCCAAAAAAAGCGGTGGAGTTGAACACCGTTGAAGCCACAACGCAGCGATTCTTGTCCAGATGTTTTCTATCTGGCAAGGCAGAGGAGGCTTTGCAAAGCCCCTTGCCCTGGCTGGCTCAGGGCCCTCCCACCCGCCCCCCGAGGAAGGCTCCCCTCGCCCCTTGCGCTGGCTGTCTTCAGAGCGCACTGCCTCCGTCCCCGTCTCCTGCTCCTGCCTCTGCCCTCAACTTGAGTCAGCGTCTTCTCCTTCCTCATTTCTCCGAAGAGCCGCCGGGAAGGATTGGCAGCGTAGCCCAACGGTTCAAGCAGATTGTCTCAGCCACTCCTGTCTGCTCTGCACGAGTGGGAGGCCCCGGATTGCCAAACGAGGCGCTTCTGACATCCGTTTTCTCCTCTTCTTCTTCTTCTTCCTCCTCCTTCTCTGTTTCTTAACAGTTGCCGAGTCAGGACCTGCCCTCTTCCGTCTCCTTCAGCCTCCTCGGTGACGGCCAGCTGCTAACCAGCCATGAAACCTGGCCGCTTCTCCTGCCTCCTGGGATGCTTTCTGGTGGCCGCAGCCAGCCTGGCTAACAACGTGGTGCCCAGAATGACCTTTCACAGAGGTAAGGAGCCACAGGGAAGGGCAGGGCAGGGCGGGGCCCGGGGGGGGGGAGTCACTCCTCGGAGGGCCAGGAAGGGTGCTTCCCACCCTCCGGTCGCACCTTCACAATTCATTTGGAGAGGATACAACAGTGGTGGGACTCATCTCTTGTGTGTGTGTGTGTGTGTGTGTGTGAGTGAGTCTGCCTACCGAGATGAGGCGGACCAGTTGCTTTCATGCTGTGGAGACCATAACTTGGTCCTCCACACCAATAAGACCAAGGAAGGAGCTGATAGTGGACTATATAGAAGGAATAGATCAGACCTCCAGCCTTGCTTATCAAGGGAGACCGAGGGGAGCAAGTGGCCAGTTTTAAGTTTCTGGGTGTCACCCTAAAAGAGGACCTGACCTGGGGGGCTCCCATTGCAGCCCTGGTCAAAAGGGCCCAGCAGAGATTCTACTACCTGAGGCTTCTCAGGAAACAACAACCGAATGAGAAACTGCTGGGGACCTTCTACCGCTGCACCACAGAGAGTATCTTAACTCACTGCACCTCTGTAGGGTTTGCCAATTGCTCAGGGGCAGATAGGACAGCGCTCCAGAGGGTTAATGTCATGGCCCAGAAGATCACGGGTTGCCCTCTCCCCTCTGTGGAAGAGCTTTAGAGCTCCCGCTGCCTTAAGAAAGTTCAAAACATCCTCAAAGATCCATCTCATCCTGGGAACCGTTTTTTTTTACTATTACAATCTGGCAGATGGTACAGGAGAATCAAAACAAGGCTGAAAAAACAGCTTCTATCTCAGGGCAGGAGCTCTGTGGAATTCTACTGTATAGTGCAGTATTGATGCGGTGTCGGGGGTTCAATGTGTGGAGGGTGTGTTTGTGTTTATTTTCACGGTCACAGTGTGCACTGAAGATGGTGTTTGATTTCATTGTAAGAGGTGCAGCGACAATAAAGTAAACTGAACTAGACTAAACAAAGTAACTTACAGTGCATCTCATCAAAACTATTTGCACAAAGGTTGTGGTTATGGTGGCCACACGTTTATTTTATTATTTATTAAATGTACATGCCACCCGTTTCATTGTCAAGAGGCTCTGGGTGACTTTGATAAAAAACAACGACAACACAATCCCTTAAGACTTTATTAAAATGAACAGAGATTGAATGAGGACTATTTAAGGATAACGATTAAATAAGGACCAGAATTGGGAGCCAGAACTTCCGATGCTAAGCAAGGCAGTGGCAAAGTGAGCCCCCACCCCCCCACCCCCGATTTTATGATCTTGTTGTTAAGCAAATCATTGCAGTTGTTAAGTGAATCTGCCTTGTCCTGTTGACTTCGCTTGCCAGAAGGTGGAATAAGTCACATTTAATGATAGCAATGAAATGACGTCCAGAACGGGGACCCAGAATTCCCGTTGCTAAGTCAGGCGGTGGCAGAGTGTTTGCCACGGTTGTTAGGCAAACCACCGCAGGCATTAAATGAATCGTGGGGTCATTAAGTGAATCCAGCGTCCTCCAGTGACTTTTCTTGTCAGAATTCAAGAGGGATGGTCTCAACAGGACATCACAGGACCTGGGCGTTCTGGTTGCCAAGCGCCCAGATTTCGATCCTGTCACGACAGGGCATGGGCCCCCCAACCTCGGGGTCGTGGCCCGCTTCCGGGCCTTCAGCCTTCCACAGAAGTGGCAGGTGAGCTTGTGCCTAGGTACACACACCCCTAGTCGCACGAGCAGCCTGCACACCTCTGTGCCTGCGCTCGATTTGTGCAAATGATCAACAGCTACCTAAAAAAAGTGAAGTATATAGCTGTTTATTGAAAATCCCTAACAGGAAGGACTCTGGTTTATACTCAGTCGGTTCTTTTGTTATATCTTCTAGCCGCTTTCTAATTCTTTGCCAGTATTTCTGGGTTTCTTTACAATGTAAAAAGGTTCCATCTGTTCTTTTACATTTCCAACATTTCGGGCTGGTGTTGGGGGAAGTCCACAAGTCTTAAAGCGGCCAAGATTGGAGACCCCTGCTCTAAAGAGCCTGCTATAGGGCTCCTAACTGTAGGGCAGACGCGGCCTAGAAGCCTTTACCCCATTGCCCTCATCCAGCCCACGAGGGAGGGCCTTTCCCTAGTGCCACCGCCCTCCATCTCCTGAAAACTTTCCTGGCACAGATGCATGGACCCTCTTGCCAGCCCCTCTTCTGACCCCCTCCCCAGTCCACGCAGGAGAATGGCCCATAAAGGGGGAGGCCCTGAGCCGCCTCTATTCCCCACCCGCTGGCATCCCTGCTGCTTAAACTCAGAATCCGGGCAATGTTTGCAGAAATCAGATCGCGAGAAGAATCCGCCTCGCACGCTGATGGCTGGTAGCACAACACCGCTTTGCACCCAGCCGTGGGTTTCTCGTGCCAAAATGGGAATGAATTAACCCAGCCGCTTGCGGGAGCTTTCAAATCCAGCTCCCTTCGGTGCCACCCCAAGGTTGGCCCTGCTGCTGCCCGCATTGGCACCCCTCGGGGTCCCTGGGCAGTTGAGGGGGGAAGGAGAGATGGGGCGCCATCTGTCTGAAATGGTGTAGGGTCTCCTGCTTGGTGGTGGGGTGGGGGTTGGACTGGATGACCTACAAGTTCCCTTCCAACTCTGTTAAGCTGTTCATGCCTCTGAGGGTGAATTGCGCACGTCTTCTATGAACCTTGCAAAAGGGCGGGCAGGCGATAAAAGCCAGGGATGGAGGCTGAGCTGCTGCCGTTGAGAGGCAGCCCGTTAATTATAGGCACTCTCTGGCTTTAAAAGGACTTGTCAAGTCTGCGCGGCTTAATCGGCCTCTGCTTCCTTCCTGGGCTGGAGCTGGGAAGTGGTAATTCCCCTCATTTTCTTCTCCGTGGTTTTCTGCCCTTCAAGGCAAGAGGCAGGCAGGATCCTTCCTGCCCTTCTCTCTGACCAGAGGGTGACAGGCAGGAGGTGGTGAGTGGACAAGCGGGGTGACCCAAGTGGCACCAAAGTCACACAAGTAGGCAAAGTCCCTTTAATTCCTCCAACTTGGGCCCCCAGTGTCCAGTTATCATCGGCTGGAGGAAAAAAAAACTCTTCCTAGAACAGTCTTTAAAGGGAAGAAATCCAGTTCAAAATCAAAGTACATCTAAATGATAAATAAAAACCAACACAAACCACAAGCTGCAGCAATCAACGAGACAGGGCAGGTTAAGGAATTGCAGACTTCAAAAGATAACAAAACACACACAGTTGGGAGGACGCCAGAACCCGGATAAGACTTGACAAAGAAAGATAACACACGCTTTGCTTCCAGCCAGGTGCTGTGCGCAAACGCCTTGTTTAAATCCTGTTTTCCCAGCTGCAGCTAATGAAGGGGATCAGGGCCCTTTCCTCTCCCGTAAGCCATGTTGCTCCCTTATCCATTCCTCCCTGCATGCCCTAGGATGAAGAGGGTTTGGACCTGGGTCTTCCTCTGAATGCCCAGCCGGACTGTGCCCTTCCCCAGTTTCCTCCACAGCCACCAGAGCCCCCCTCCCACTCCCGGTCAGCTGCTCGGCCTCCCCCTCAGAACCGGATTCCAACAGGGGCAGGACACCAAGCTCTCCTTCGTTCTTCTCCTGGGTAAAAAAGGAAGAGTAGCCGGGAAATCCAGTGGGGAAAATTCTCCCCCTCGATTCTGAAGCCCTCCAGTTGCAGAACGGAGCCCAAGATTTGTGTGGCTGTAAGCGAGACGTCCGTAAAGCGAGCGCTGCCCCATTTTACAACCTTCCTTGCTGCAGTTGTTAAGTGGGGAACACGGTTGTTAAGTGAGTCTGGCTTCCCCGTTGACTTTGTGTGTTCGAGGGTCACAAAAGCGGATCACATGACACACAACCCCCCCAGACGCTGCCACCATCATAAATAAGAGCGCCTGGGTTTTGCTCTGGTGACCCTGGGGAGGCTGACAGGTCATAAGTGTGAAAAGCAGTCGTAAGTCACACTTTTCAGTGCTGTTGTAACGTAGAATTGTTGTGAGTCGAACACTATTTTAGAGCCTTTTTTGTGGCAGTCATTAAGTGAATGTGACATTCAAAGTAATAATGATGTCGTCCGTTCGGCTGAGTCCGGCTCTGGGCGATTCTCTGGGCCAGGACTGTCCCCGTCTTCCGATCTCGCCCTACTGCTCCTTCTCCGCTCCGGCCAGGGTCAGCTTCGAGGGTGCCCAGCAGCCACCGTGTCCTTCGGCGGCCTGGTTTCCTTTCACCGCTAACTGTAAGGATAATTTCTTTCGCCAGTGAATTCCCCCGCACGACATGGCCGGGACAATGCGACTTTAAAATAATAATTAGGGTGATGATGATGTTTGGTTCATTGACATTGCATACTTGGTGGTGCACACACTGAAGACACACAGCAAGAAAAAAAAATCACAAAGTACCGGGACTTACAAATTGAAGTTGAGCAACTTTGGAAAAAGAAATGATGTGTGCTATCCCAATTGTAATTGGAGCCCTTGGAGCAATACTGAAAGGGCTACCTGCCTGTTTGGAAATCCTGAATTTATCAGACTTGAATACACTCTGTTACTGAAGTCGTATTTCCTGCAATCAAGTTTGGTGCAGTTTACCTTGAGTTTGTATCTATTGTGTGCTCTTGTATTGTTATAGTTGAAGCTGAAGTATTCATTGACTGGTAGGACTTTGCAATGTATGATTTTAAATACTAAGATCGGACCAGAGGCGGCGTAGTTCTTGGTTTTCTAGGTCTAGAATTTCAAGTCTGGTGGCATAAGGTCTTCTGCAACGAGTAGAGGAGTGGAGAACTCTTCTTGTGAAATATTTCTGGACTTTCTCAACTGTGTTAATATCAGATACGTAATGTGGGTTCCAGACTGATGAGCTGTATTCGAGTATTGGTCCAGCAAATGTTTTGTATGCTCTAGTTAGTAGTGTGATATTACCAGAGAACAAGCTACATAAGATTAGATTAACAACTCTTAATGCCTTTTTGGCTATGTAGTTACAGTGGGCTCTGGCACTTAGATCATTAGAGATGAGTACTCCAAGGTCCTTGACAGAGTTTGGATCATCAACAAGGTCTTGATTATTCAGCCTGTATTTTTTTTTTTTTGCCAATATGTAAGACAGAGCATTTATTTGTTGAGATTTGAAGTTGCCATTTGTTTGACCATTCTGATACATAGTCAAAGTCTTTTTGAAGGGTAGAAGTATTTTCTGTGGTGTTGAATAGCTTTACATCATCAGCAAAGAGAACGCAGTTGCTCTTGATACGATCACAGAGGTCATTTATGTAGAGTATGAAGAGAGTTGGTCCTAAAACACTGCCTTGGCGGACACCATTGTTGACAGGTACAGAATTTGATAGGACGCTCCCAATTTTGAACATTTGTTGTCTGTTTGACAGGAATGCCTCTATCCAGTTATGTAGGTGTCCAGAGATACCATAAGATTTTAGTTTTAGGAGTAGTTTGTTGTGTACCACTGAATCAAAGGCTTTACAGAAGTCTATGTAGATTGCGTCTATTGCTTTGCCCTGATTGAGTTGTGTAGTCCATATGTTTTTGCAGTGTAAGAGTTGCAGATTACAGGATAGTTTTTTACTGAAACCAAATTGTTTATTGGAGAGTAGGTTGTTTGTTTCTGAGTGGAGGATGGTGGATTGGTTAATAATTGATTCCATGACTTTACAGGTGACGCAGCATAAGGAGATTGGTCTGTAATTTTCAACTAGGCTGGGGTCTCCCTTTTTGAGGATGGGGATGACCGTGGCTAGTGACCATAGGTTAGGCTAGGAGCTGGTCCTGAAAGATTTTTCAAAGATTATGCTTAGAGGTTCAGCTATGGCAGTGGGTAGTTTTTTTTAAGAAGTAGGCACATATTCCCTCTGGTCCAATAGATAGGGACGGTTTTAGATGGCGCGGTGCTTTTTCAACAATGTCTTCTGTAAAATCGATATGTATTAGATCATTGAAGTTGTCTTTAATTCAAGTAAGAAATACTTGGCTTGATCTATTGCTGTTTACAAATACTGAGCCAAAGAATGTGTTACAGAGGTTGGCTTTGATGGTGTCGTCATTGCAGTCTTTGCCATTAGGTCCTTTCAGGGGTGGGATGGACCTTGAGTCTTTTAGTTTGTTGTTTACAAAATTGTAGAAGGCGCGGGTGAAATTGGTGCGCAGAAGGTTTTCCTCTTGTTTAATGTGATAATTGGTGCATTCAGTTTTTATCTGGTGGCATAAATTTTTGTATCGGCTTTTGAAGTTGGCAACGTGACCAGCTCAGAGTGACAGCAATCAACCTGCGGAACAGAAGTTGTGGGACCTTCATCCCTGGAAGCTTTCAAGAAGAGACTGCCCTCTGTCAGAAGCGGTGTAGGGTCTCCTGCTTGGGCAGGGGGTTGGGCTGGATGACCTCACAGGTCCCTTCCAGCTCTGTTAATCTGCATGTATGGATTCCTTTCTCCTCCAGGGGACCCCAGCCGCGAGGTTGGCACCTTCAGCCAGGAGGGGATCCTCAACTACGACACATTCCTGCTGAGTGCCGACGGTGAGACTCTCTACGTGGGAGGGAGGGACGCCATCCTTGCCCTCAATATCAGCAGCGCCCCCATCAGGCTGAAGGGGGAGGTGAGTGGAAGCGGCAGATTTGGGGAGGGGGAGGCTCCGGGGGGGGGCATGCAAGCTGGGGGCGGGGAAGACTCCGCCTTCTGCTCAGAGTCTGTTTCCTCTTTGGAGAGTGGAGAGGCGGTTAAAGCCGCCAGAGGTTGGGAGTTCTAGTCCCACCTTAGCCCTGAAAGCCAGCTGGGTGACCTTGGGCCAGTCCCCAGGAGAGGGCGAGTTCTAGTCCTGCCTTAGGCATGAAAGCTGGTTGGACGACCTTGAGCCAGCCCTTCTCTCTCTCTCTCTCTCTCTCTTCCTCTCTCTTCCTCACTTTCTCTCTCTTCCTCTCTCTCTCTTTCTCCCCCCTCTCTCTCTGTCTCTCTCTTCCTCTCTTTCTCCCTCTCTCTCCTTCTCTCTCTTCCTCTCTCTTTCCTCTGTCTTTCCTCTCTCTCTCTCTTCCTCTCTCTCTCTTTCTCTTTCTCCCTCTCTCTCTCTTTCTCTCTTTCTCTTCCTCTCTCTGTCTCCCTCCCTCTCTCCCCCTCTCTTCCTTTCTTTCTCTTTCTCTCTTTGTCCCTCTCTCCCTCCACCCCCTCTCTCTCCCTCTCTCTCTCTTCCTCTCTCTCTCTTCCTCTCTCTTTCCTCTCTCTTTCCTCCCTCTCTCTCTCTTTCTCTTCCTCTCTATGTCTCCCTCCCTCTCCCCCCCTCTCTCTTCCTTTCTTTCTCTTTCTCTCTTTGTCCCTCTCTCCCTCCCTCTCTCTCTCTCCCTCTCTCTCTTCCTCTTTGTCTCTTCCTCTCTCTTTCCTCTCTCTTTCTTCTCTCTCTCTCTCT